CTCCCAGGATCAGGGGAGTACAACAATGCTAAATTAAGCTGTACAGAAACAACTTCCCCTTTTGTTTCATTTTACCTAACCTTGCCTTTTAGCTTTTAGTTGTATTTAATCCCAAAACTAAAAAGAAAAAAAAAAAAAAAGATACCAACTTTGGACACTTCCTAATATTCCTTTCTGGCACTAGGGAATAAAAAGTAAGAAGTTTTTTAAACAGTTCTAAATGGACAAAATAATCAATAGTTTACTGTTTTAAATGAACAACCAGGCTTTTATTCAGTTCTAACAAACTAGTCAGTCTTTTTGGGTTAATATTATAATTATGGCTTCTTTCTCTTATTTTCAATACCCCTGGATCATGCAGGTAACTCTTCAACAGGTCTCACACATCTCTAATTACACTGTGGATTTAAAACCAAAGCTTGGAGGTCCTAGCAAAACAGTCTCATCACATTACTTTTGTCTTATGTCCAAACCTGAGGGAACTGTGGGGAAAAGTGTGTGTAAGCTCTTAGAGCACAAAATATTGGGAGGTTTGGTTACAGTAGCCCAGAACAGGCATGTGTTCCACAGTGTATTTAAAAGAACACCAGGAGATTAAATCTCCCTGTCTCCTAAGACTGTGGGTGGAGTGTTTTTTTGTTTTGGTTAGACTTGGTGTGTTTTGTTGTTTGATTTGTTTGCTTTGGTGGGGTATTCTGTTTGGGGTTTTTATTTGTTTGTTTTTAATCCTTTTAGGTACCTTTATGTCATTTCCTTGAAACCTACTAAAGATTGTAGGAAATAAAGGGAATTCAAGGACAGATGATGAAAGCGATTAGAGGCTTAGAAAGACACACATATGAGGAGTGATTATTAAAGTCTGCCTTGCTTGTAGACGAGATGAATGGGAGGGATCATAAGATAGATACGGAAAATGAGAAGAGGCATTCCACAGAATGTTTTTTCATCAATAGAAAGCAAGTGAATTTCTGTTTGTTTTGTTTGGCTTTTTTTTATAGTGTAAACCTTTTGTATGTGAAAACATGAAAATTAAATCATCCAAAAAACTACTGATTCTGCTGCTAGTCTCACTAAGGCTGAAAGAACAAGAAGACTGAAATTAAGCTTCTCTATTAATTTTTAAATAAACTCCACCTGTTCCAGGTAAAGTTTTTGTGTTTGTTTGAAAAAGAAGGGATAGTAAGAAGATAGTAAGGGATAGAAGGATTCTTACTATTCTAAGTATGTTTTCCACTAATACAGAGAAAGTTCTGAATAGGCTCCAATGTCCAAGAAATCAACTGGGACTTCCTGTGTCTCTAATGCATCTGGTACTTGTTAAAAGCAAGCAGACTTCTACGTAGACTTTAGATGGGATGCAGTAAAGGAATTTGTGCTTTAGCTGTACTGGAAAAAGATTCTTCTCTTCCAAAGCCATACATATAAATTTATAATCCTGACAAAATACAAAGGATTCTTGTTCAGTAATGGGAAAGACATCAAGAGTAAAGAGCAATGTCCTGATCAGCAGATTAAAAAAGATAGCTTTAATAGACCCTTATAGAGCCTCGAAAGGCAGTCCTGACACAGTGCTCTTGAAGCAAAAGTCAACACAGCGAGGCATAGGTCAGCATAGCCAGGCTAGTTTGAGTATGAGGAAAGTTAACTATTGCAATTACATAGACTTCTGCTGGGATTTACTGAGCAAGAAATACAGTGTAGCCAGAACCTGAACATGCTAATCTTTCACAATGCTTACTGCAAAACCAAGTCCCTGAAGAAAGCACTATGACCCTTTTTAAACTATCATGCAAGCTACATTCCAGCAAGAGCAGTACTTTGTTCATGACAACTAAAAATGCAACTCCTGTTCCCAAATCTTGTCCTACTTCATATTTTACGTCCTGATTTTGAATGTTTTTCAAAGATTTGTATTTGAAGTGTTGCAGGAATCAGCTAGTAGTGGATGTTAAGCACAGTGAAGCTGCAGTAACTGCCATTAGCAAAGAGGACCAGAAACATTTTACATGGCTGCACTGTCCATGGATTCTACCAGCACCACTGGAGCAATTTGCAGTAATACAGATTATAATGAGCAGGTACTATTGGCAAGGAGAGGCAGGCAAAGTCTCCCAGATTAGCACCCCTCTTAAATCTGGAGATGGATGATTTTCCACAACTAAGGCAACCACATAGCTATTAATCTATACCCACCACGTAAAAGCACAACTGTAAGGCACTAATTCCACTACACTCCAAGTAATAGTGTTTTCATGCCCCACTTAGTACTGCCATACACATCATAGCTGGACTCTCTAGAGATTCATCCAAGGAAGAGAATATCTAAGAAGAGAGAACAGCCTCTCCCTCAAAATATTTGGCCTTCAGCAGCAGCAGTGACTTCCCTAAATTAAGAATACCTCAACTGTACTTCAATAAAGTATTTTCTCTCTTTCAGCCACTGGGCTGGACTTTCACACAAAAGGTGACATATGGAGAGTTATTAGCAAAACCCACAATATCTTATACTTCCAATGGCCTCAAAGGAGAAGGCATTAAACAGACCTGTTGCTGTACACTGAAGAAGCTTTTTGGCTGCAGCAAAAATGTTTAAATCCCCTCAGACTCTAGCATTTACAAACTCCAAAGGCTATATTCACAGCAAATGGTTCTAGCACTTCTGCAAACTGAATTTAATGATGCCTTCCTACAGTATATACAGTAGCACATTTAGAACTGTCATTTTACCTGTCCAGAAAAATGGTGTTGCTGTCTCACAAAGAAAATCCTTACATGGGCTTGAAAGACACATACAGTAACCTATAGGCTGGAGAATTCCTTTAAAACCCACCCACCTGAAAACTGGACTCTACCCTATGTTATACAGACTAGAAGATCCAGCTTCTACTTTGACACCTCTCTTCTCCCCAGACTTTATTAAATGGATCTCACTTTACTTATAACATGTCCTATGCTGCTACCAAATCCAGCTCCAAAGCATTCCTCATACAGCAGGTCTCCCTAGTCTGCTCAGGCTCTTGAGAACGCCCCTACCACTTCTATATTGTTGTGTTCATGCACTGCATTGTTCTTCTCCATCCATATTTGGGAATGGCAGCTTTAACTTCAGCTGCTTTGATGATTTTTATTCAGTCTAAATAAAAAACAGCATTATAATTTCTTGCCTTTTTTTTTGCATAATACTGCCGGTTCTTGCTGCTCTGGTGTGTGACCATTTCTACCCCTACAGCTAGGCAGTAAGAAAAATGTTGAAGTTGTCCAGGCAATTTACTCAGGAAAAATTCCAATTTGTCTAGACTAAGCACAAATAGATTTACTACAAGGTCTTACCATCACCTGGAACATACAACATGCTGCTACCATACCTAGCAATTATACTACAAGTTCTGTGATATCTGACACAACTTGTAAAGCCCACACCCTGGAGCATCACAATTACATACAACTCTAAACTTGTACAGAGTTGTATTTCTAGTCCTCATGGTCACAGGAAGGGAAGATGACACTAATTCTGATTAAAAAAAATCCAAAATCAGACAGAAGGTCAATGCTTTTATAAAATTAAAACATAAGATTATTTTTTTTAATTGTCAATACACAAGTACAATAAGCAACACAGCATTAGCCACAATACTTTATACTTTTAAGCAAATCAACTAGACGACAGAGTAGTGTTTAACCCTTAAATATGCCCAAAATTATGAAGATATGCAACTTTTCTCCATGGCCACACTTAGGTAGGTAGTACACTATTCTCACAGCAAGATCAGTGAAGGAGAAACTAATCAGTTCAACTTTCAACAGAGAAGAATAAAGGAAATGCATAAGATTGTTAACTCCAATATGACTAGCATGTGTGTCCATTTTATAGTGTGAAGAGCTTTAGTAGTAATGCTACAAATGGGTTACCCATTTTTAAAACATTTCATTATTCTGAAGCAATCTGAATCACACCAACTCATTTTCATCACTATGGGCTGGAGAGATGGAGAATACTGTTAATGCACAGTACAGGAAAAGAAAATCCCCAAACTCCAAAACCTTTACCTGAGTCAACCCCTAAAAAAGATCTTCCCTCACAAATAGTTGATCCTTACACCTCTCAAACCATAAAGTTAATTTGTTGTCAGACCCAAGATCTCAGCACAGAAAACAGTATTTCTGCCAATATCCCAAGTCAGCTAGAGCAACCTCATTTTTCCTTTCCTGCAGTGCCTGGGAAGAAAGGGCCACTTTTTTACACGTCTTTGAGCTGAGCATTTAGGTAAGAATTTTAAAGTAAAAAGCAAAGTGCCTTCATCAACAGAACACTTACCATAAAAGCCACTAAATACATGAAAGGATCACAAGCTTTGCCTATACATGTTTATGTTTATAAATATATATATCATATGAAATAAACATAAAGAAAGATGAATCGGCCAGGAAAATAAAAACGATTTCATAAAGCCATACATCACAGATATATAATATATTCTTACTTTATCTCTGGAAACACACAGGTATACTTTTTCCGTCAAGTTCCATTCCTGCCACAGCCCTCTTTTAACTTCATAAAAGGAACCATAACAATTCTCTGCTGCCAGGTACAATCACCTGCTCCAGAGTTTATTAAACAAACCTTGAGAAACAGAACCAAACCCTAGGATTCACCACTATGATCGAGACAGAGTCATGGCATTAAATCATCGGCGCTGTTGACTCTGGTGAGTAAGTGTTCTATTACACTTGTATCCCTCTAGTTTCGATTGAGGGGATTCCTCGAACATTGGTTTCTATGAAGTCAATATCCAGCTTCATTTCATTTTCCTATACCATAAAGCGTTCAGAGTATGAACGTGAAAGAATCACGTAGGAGAAAACCTTCCCTTTAGATCGTCAGCCTAGCAAACGCGGAGACCTCACGGGGAACGTGCTGCAGGTTGGCGGCTGCCTGTCAGAGCTCGGGACCCAAATGGCCCGGGCAGCCCCCGCGGGCCGCCTGCTCTCACACGCCTTACCCTGGTCTTGCGGCGCCGGTGCCGCTCCGGGTCCGAGTACGTCCTGTCCACGGCGAGCGCCGTGTCGCTGCCCGGCATGCTTGTGCTTGTGCTGCTGCCCCGCGCCGGGCGCGGTGCCGCCCAGGGCCGCCCAAGCACCAGCCCTGCGGCCGCGGGACTGAGCGGGATCGGGATCGGGATCGGGAGCGGGATCGGGATCGGGATCGCGGCCGCCGCTCGGGAGCGCCGGGCACGCCCCGCCCGCACGGCCCCGCCCGCGGCGCGGCCGCTCCCCAGCCCGCACACACCCGGATCGGCCCCTCCGCGCTCCGGGTCCCGCCGCACGGACCCTGAGGGCGCCGCGGCTGGGGTGCCCCCTCCTTCCAAAAAGGAAGGACGCCTGAGACGGGATGAAGCGGGGAGAGCTTAGCCAGAGGGACTGGGCCAGACGTCCCTTCGTGTGTTTTATTTTCAAGGCCGTCGTGTCTGAGAGGAGAGCGGGAGCTGGGACACGATGATCACACGATGACACAGAGGAATGGCTGGACAGAGGGATGACAGTTCCTCCTGCTGACCGCCGCTGGTTTGGGTCCGATCCAGGTATTGGAGAGAGCTACAATCAATCAAGCAAGCAATCTCCGCTTGCCTTAAAACAAACCTAGACCGTGTGGCTACAGTGAAACCTCACAAAGCACAGTATATTCTAAAGGTTCAGAAGTCCAAAGGGGAAAGAAAGGAAGAAAGCAGAAGTATTGTGTTGTCAGTTTTGGGCAGATACACTTGTAAGGTTTTGACTTCGGTAGTGTAAGGTACCCTGGACATAACTGAGTACTGCTGCTTGAAAGCCCTTGATACCTAGAGGTTTTCACGATAAAATGGTATAAACATTCTGTCAAACCAACTAAGTAATTAGGGCTTGCATTTAACAAAGTGGTCAGTGGAGCACAGCAACTAATTCAGCCCCTTTTTCTTCATTCTACAGATGTGAGATAAATCCTTCAAGATCTTGCCCAAGGGAGCTTCAAGTGATACTTCAGAACTATCAAGGGTAACTTGTTTTCCAGAGCAGGCCAGGCAGGTGCATGCCAATGTATTTAAATTCCTAGGAGCTGAGTGGAGTTTCTGACTGATTTTCACATTCATTCTCAGACTTTCTATAGTGAGGAATGCATTTAAGTGACACTTAACACATTTTAACCCACTGAAAAGTGAAATATTGTTTTATAATCACAAAGTTGTAGAGGAAATGTACTTCTTTTCCTTTAGAAAAAAAAACAGACTAGTTGAGTTACCACCTCTAATTATTATACAAGGAAATCTTGAGTTCCTTCAGGCCAACTCCCTTGTAAGAGTAACAGGACTTTACCTTTTAAGTACAGTTGTTATCATGCTCATGCACAAATCACACTGCTTTTCTTCTCTAGTTGAGACAACAGTCCCAAGGCATGTGGGTATATAAACATACTTAAATATCAACATAGCTAACTATCCTAGAAGGACCTTGTAGCTTTAAAAAATATTTCCCTGTCACCATTTGTTTAGGTTTTTTTTATTGGAATCATATGTTCCAAGATAACTACTCTCAGAGGTTAATTATCTGACATAAGATCCTCCTTGGTGTTTTCAACTAATGTCTTCATAAATGAAAGACCTGGAATTCTAAAATAAAAATAAATACTACACCTCACCTTCTTGGCAGGTGTTTCTTCTTCAACTGTAACACCAGGTTTAACAAAGTTACCCCAAAGTAAACAATGAGTGGGTTTACTAAAGGAACGACTATTTTCCTAAAGCAGTATTCAAAGTACCAAGCTAACACTAGATACTGCACACAGATGGCAACTTGCCACCCTTCCTATACCTCTTATGAAGCGGAATGAGTTAGCTGAAGTTAAAAGGCTGCTGGGGGAAAAAAAAAAACCAAAACCAGAACAGAAATGGAAACTTTTTTCAGTCCTTCAGCTCAGACATGAACATTAATTCATGTGCCAGAGGGTAAGGAAGTCTGGAGGTAAAGGTGAGTAAAAAATTAAATAGGCAAATTCTGTGGGGCTTGGGGTTTTCACTGAAGAAATAATTGCACATTTCCAAACAGGAATGTGTGGTTTTCAGCACCTAGGATGAAACACCCTTATTTCCTCAGAAACTTTCAGAGTTTTTTTTAAGACTTGCCAGATGCAGTTGATCAAAGCATAGAAAGGGTAAGCAGTTGGAATAGGGACACATAAAACACCGCAACTGCTTGATGTTTTAGTCATAGAAGACTTATTATAAATCACACTTTATTCAAAAGTTTAAGAGTTTTATTTACATATCAGTCTCATTTAAATAGCACCAGCAGACTAGCCACAAAATGGCGAAACTTCCAGATAAAGACAGGCAAGAATATGCAGTACATATTTAGAGGTAGTATCAACATACATACTACTATATTTACAAAGAAAGCTCTGTCCTAATGTAGCCTCTAAGAAGAGAACATGATATAGCTGATCTCGTAAGACCCCAGTGTTGCATGAGTCACACCTTCCAACCAAGCCTGTAGATCTGTAGCTTGGGCACTGCTCTCAGCAGTGCATACCACAAACAGCTCCCGGCTCCTGCGCCAGCAGTGCAAGCCCTGGCACTGGGATGTTCCTGGAGGAACTGTGACCACAGGACAGCAGGCCAGTCAATTAGGAACAAGTGCTACAAGTTAGAACGGAGGAGAAATGGCTGCTTGGGCAGAGGCATCTGTCCCACAGGTCACGAGAGTCCTTCCACACAAGCTGAATTAGAAGCCATTGTAATTTTGATGACAACTGCCACATCTCAAGAAATGGTTCTTTTCATATTTGGACTTAAATAATCTGCATCTTCAGCATTTATGACAAACTGTGGTGCAATGCAATTCTCTGACCAAAGGCTGCTCTTTTCCCCCTCTATCTTTCCTTCTCACATATGTGCCACTAGGTCCTTCCTGAGCTGGAATGTGCCATTCTTATCCTATGGCACATTTGCAGAATGCATTTCATTTGGCTTGGCTGAACAAAGACCATCTGCCCTCCTCTTGCACACACAGCTGGTTTGTACAGCTCTCCTTCCTCACTCCAAAACAGAGACATGACACCCTGAACATGACAGAATACTGCCCAGCACAGTACTACTGAGAGCTTCACTGGGTACTTCTCTCACTGTTATTTTCAAAAGCCCACAAGAGTTTAAATAAATGTTCTTCCCACACACTGCACCTCCTCTCAACTGAACCTTAACTCCACTGAAGTAAATTCTTCCAGATAGAGGCAGGAGCATGAGGCTGGACTCACAGTGACATAGACAGAAATAGTAGTCTATAGATTCATTCTCTCATCCTTTGTTCTTCTCAAAAATTATTTTTAAAATTAATTTCTATGTCTTAAATGAATGATAAAATGTTAAATCATTTTTGGCCATCCATTCTGCCAGTTTTAAAGGTCAAATACGTCAAAATCTCTCACTTAGTGCCCAGCTGACAGTACCCATTCTTTTCCAGTCCTTTCCCTCACGTCAGCATGCTGGCATGATCCACAATGCTTAACTCTTGGTATTTACATTATTTTGCCTACCTTTTTTAAGTGATCTTTTAAAGAATGATACCTGTTAGGTCTAATTAGACTTAAGATCATAGCACAAGAGTAGCATTCACCACTGTATTTGATTTTCAGAGGGACAGACATCAATATTGCGTTTGCCTGTATTGCCATGTTTTAAGAAAATCAAATCTCTGGAGGTGCAGCAGAGGCACTGTCCAAAGGAGGCCTGTTAGCTGGAGCCTGAGCTTTCTAGAGATGATTCCTGTCTCACTCTTCCCGTCAGGAACTGCATCTTTGCCATCCATTTTTTGTCCCATGACCATGTGTAATACTTGCACAGCAGACACAGCACTCCCGCCTGCAAGCCATAAATTATCCATACTGACTTATGCAGAGGCCACTGAGGGAGCAGAAGTGCCAGTGCACTTGTGGGATTGCCTAACAAAACCCAGCTCCCACACAATGCAATCTCCTAGATGGTGTCATGCACCCACACTGGGAAGTAACAAAAAAATCTCTAAATAAACCTTTATAGAGGTGGAAAACATGGAAACTTTCATTTGGAGGCTGGCTCAAAGTTTGACCCCATTCTCTTTCCAGTTTTATTATGAATTGATCTTGGCAATTTACTTTACTTCTTTGGACTTCTACCCTATCTGTAAAAGGAGAAGCAGAGCACGTCTTTGCCACTGTGTAGAACCTTGAGCTCCTCCAGAATTAAATGTGCTATTATTAAATGTTGTGTTCTGATGTTCAGGGGAACGAATTAAATATCTGATGTCAAAGGTATGTTGGCAAAGATACAATCAGGAAGAAGATGAAAGTCCCTTTTCTCATAATGGTAACATCTGTACTCTAAACAGGATGCTGGGGCTCCTTTTGAGAGACTTTTTAACTTGTCCTCCAAATCTTTTTCCAAAAGGTTTCATCAAGCAGCCTCTAGGGAAAGGGTCTACGTGAAAAGAGACTGTTAGTCATTTCCAAGTCTGAAGGCAAGTGGGATAGTGCCGAGTGGCACTGGTCTTGCAGTTAGCCCTGAGTGCATTGTCACAGTTCTCAGTTCCTCTGCCAAAGCATGAGCCTTTCACATCCACAGCAAAGGAGATATTCTGCTTATTTGTACCCAGCACAAACTACCATGGGATCACGCTAAGACTTGCAGATTGTATTGCCAAGCTGTGACAAGGATTCAGAAGATGTTTATAAACATTCAGATATCAAACTAAAATTTTAAATTAACCCCTCTCCTCTCCTGATTAAGAAATGTTTTATGTGCTTTCACAATAGAATAGCTCTGGACACTCTGTGAGTATGCCTTTTCCACACAGTAAAAAACTGCAAAACAAAACTTTCATGTATTAGTGAAATGCACTTACAGGGAGTGAAGTATAAAAAGCAGGTGAAAAATGCCAGTTCAGGGTAACAGAAGTTCTCCTTCCTTTTCCCTGCATACTATTGTGTGTCCCTTGCCGTGTGACGAGAGGCAATTTCAAGGCCTTTCACCATTCTCATACAACCTAGGAAAATCAAGGCACATAATTCCTCACTGCTGCTGCTGAGTGACAGCAATAGTGCAAACAGTACCTACAGGATGGTGGCAGTGTTTTGCATTTCAAATGTGT